TATATATATATATATATATATATATATATATATATATATAGGTTTATAAGATGTTAATTTAAGATGAAATATCCCTGTCAAATTTCTCTGTTAAATAAATTACCAAACCCTGCCATTTGTGTTTTTTTCTTTTTATTAATATCTGTATGCTCTATCAACACAGATGAGGCTGTGTGGTTAATGGGGGCCACCGCGTTCAACCTCCCCACCCTCAGCAGCGCCCCTGCTTTAAGGTTAGGTTCCTCAGCCAAAAGACAGACTTTTTAGGAACAGATGACACCTGAGTCTGCTTCATCCTATCATTGTTTATTAAACAAATTAACCCTCAAAGTAGGGGCGGAGCTAGATGGGGGACCAGGGGTGGCCATAGCCACCATTAGCCAATCATTTGCCACCCCTACCATTTTTTCCCCTCTAATACAGATGGTGGCAGCAGTAATACTCTCTAGTGGAATATTCAAAACATTTACATTTTTTGTGGGCAATTATACACATCAATATACTAACATGAAAGATGATAAGTACAGAATTTATATTCTTTTCAGAACTAGATTTGGTGTTATATGGGGTAAAGAGAAAATGTGTCTCTGCAAGTCATCGGGGAGTCTTCAGTGAAATCATAGATAAATAATTTTAATAAAAACTTATCAAATAATCAATTTATGTAGATAATAGTGCTTGTAAATATAAATTTTATGCAGAATGTTTATTGACACAAGTAGGTAAGTAACAACAATGGAAAAGATTTATGCCCCAGAACTCAAAAGTGAAAGAATTTTCTCCACTATACCTTTTACCTCGAAATTACAGATGTGTAAATATATGTGCCTATTTGTTAGTAAAGGCTGTAGTTTGCTTTATTTAGAAAATTTGGATGTTTTGCTTGTTTATTTTCCTGTTGGAACAGTTTAGATTGACCCTGAGGTTCTGGTGCCTATCCGCTTTCGGCCACCCCTCAGTGTACATTGGTTATTGCGGAGGAGGATTAGGGCCACTGAAAAATTCTCAGAATTCCGACTGTTTTTCTCAGAATTGTGACTTTCATCTCAGAATTTTGTATCTTAATGTTGATGGGAACCATGAAGGAAGAGATGTGGGAGCACTCAGCTTCACTGACAAAGATGTGTTATTTGGGAGGGCAAGTAACACATCGGTTAGGCGACGTTTTACGTGATGCTATTTAACACAAAGATATTATTTAATTAATGGAAAAGAAGAAGGTGATTAAAACCAGAGAGGTAGTTTAGTCTTTAAAACAGACAAGGGTACCAATATGTTTGTTAGCTGTCAGAATTCAGTCAGAATTCAGAGATTTTTCTCATATTATTATTATTTTTTTTTTTTGGCCCTAATTCTCTTCCGTAGTTTATTGCCTGGCCACCCTTATAATGCACCCATATTCTGCCAGCAGATTTCTGCATTTTAAGTTAATCTATGCGTCAATAAACTGTTTCAGAGGAGTGATCATAGCAGCAAAAATTGAAATTTTCCATCTCGAGCAGCAGCGCGTTTGCGGCGCGCCATGCACATCAGATGCTTAACTACGCCTGACACGCTGCTTTAGCTGCTCAAAACGCGCTGTGGGACCTTTTGCTGCGCCTTGACGTGAGTCAACGATTGACTTTGCATGTAAACTCGCTGCTTCTGCCGTGCCTGCTGCGCCAGGTGTGAACGAGACGCGATTTTGCTGCTCTCGCTACGTCCGGTGTGAACGTAGCATAAGTTTTCTTGCTACGCCCCTGCCTAAAAGCCAGCTGGCCGCCTCCATGACTCACCTGGTCTCACAGTTTTCAACTTCACGGGACTTTTGCAGTTCTTTATCAGCGTCTGCACGTCGTACAGAGGTAATCCTGAGATGGAGATGTTCTCCACCTCCAGCAGCAGCTCCCCTTCGTTCAGTCTGCCCTCTCTGTAAAACACCAGCTCCTCGTTAATGTGGCCGATGTAGGAGAACTCCCCGTTCTCCGCGCCGCCGCGCAGAGACACGTTCAGGTCTCCACGGGCATCTTTCCCCACGGAGCATTCGGTCACCCTGAAGGTCCAGTGGTTCTTCTTCAGCGCAGGGTTGGTCATGTTCAACAGTTTGGAGCCTGAACCGAACCTGGGCTCAGACAGCAAGCAGTCAATTAAGGGGGTTTCACAAAGTATATCCGAGAGAAGCGCAGTAAACTTTCCTTCTCCTCAGAAACATGAGGTCTCCTCCGCTCCAACTAATCAAGCCATACCGCTCCAATCGGAGCTCAGTCCTTGAAGTGGACACGCTGCGTTCACCGTTTCCAAAACATCCTCTTTAACTTTAACGCTCCTTTACTGAAGTCATGTTTTATCTTCTTCCACCCCGCTCCTCTTCTTTTAATCCTTTGTTTAAAAACTTACTTTATTGAAGTTTCTCTCTTTGGTAAACGTAGAAACACGCAGAGCATTCCGGTGCGTCCTGTCCGTGCGTGGAGCTCAGCCTGTATTCCCACTCTGGACTCTGCCGCGATGGGAAAGCCTGGCGTCTGTGCTGCATTCACGCGCTGCAGGAAATTGTATGCAAATCTTTCTGAGCACTTTTTCTAGTTGTTCTAAATAATTAAGTAAATAAAAATAAATAACAAAAATAAATAAATATATACATAAATAAATAAATAAAATAAATAAGTAAGTACATAAAAATAAATAAATAAAATAAGTAGGTACATTAAATAAATAAAATAAGTAAGTACATAAAAAATTAATAATTAAGTAAGTAAATAAAAATAAATAAAAGAATAAAGGAAAAACAAACGCAACAATAACAATACTAACGACAATAGAAAAGAGAAGATATTATGCAAATTATTGATTTAGTACTGGTGTTAAAAAATACTCGATTTTACTTTTTCTGGCCAACAAACTGAAAAATTAATCACCCAGCGTTTCTGAACGACCACCTCTTCATTATTTATCTTTTTATTGGCAGTTTGCTAACCACACTGAGGTGCATTTCTAGTATGGAGTATAGATCTAGTATAAACCATACCACCCTTAAACCTGTTTCTTTCAAAAATACCAACTGTTCTCATTTTCTTTAGAGACTTGGCCTCATTATGACTCCCTCAATAATAGTCCTTGCATAGAGGAAATTCATATTTTAGTCAGACCATACCAGTTTATTTCTAGAGCACTTAAAAACAACACAGAAGCCAAATAAAGAGCTGCAAAAAAAATAATAAATGTATATATATAAATATATATATATATATATATATATATATATATATATATATATA